AGAGGAGAGGAGAGGAGAGGAGAGGAGAGGAGAGGAGAGGAGAGGAGAGGAGAGGAGAGGAGAGGAGAGGAGAGGAGAGGAGGATGGGAGGGAGGAAATACAAGAAAACTGTCTTCAGATAAGGAAGCTATAAACCACACTTTAAGATTTTTCTTGTTAATTGCTCATTGGAGAGCTATTGCTTTGATTCCACCTTGAAAAAATACCTTCTAACCATCACATGGTTTCCTTTGTATCTCAGCCTAAAACAGGATTTCTCAAACTTGGCATCACTGACATTTTCAGTTGTGTAATTCTTTGTTGTGAGGAGCTGTCTTGGGCATTGTACAATACTTCATGGAATCCCTGATGTCTACTCATTAGATTCCCTCAACCCCTTCCTTCCAGCCATAACAACCAAGAATGTCTCCCAAGCTGCCAAATGTCTCCTAGGGGCAAATGTATCCAGATTGAGAATCATAGATCTAGAGAAAGAAAAAAAAAACTGTACTGTCATGGACATAGCAATATGCATATGTGTACAGTTCCAGTGATTGCAATGGTTAATTAATACTCATTACATTACTAATGTCAGTCATTACTGGGTTATTGATATATACTGCTAAGTCCATATCTTTTGCAAAATAGCAAATTTTCCATGACTATAGCCAGCATGTGAGGCCACTGACTAATCAGAAATATGTGATAATCTTTCTTTATTTCAAATTGTAAAAGGTAAAATTTTAGGTGCCTTTATCCAGCAGTTCTTTACTTGTGATGCTATAATATTTCACAGGCACCTATTTCCTTAAACATGAATCAGCAAACAAGTTCCTTAATTTTGTGGTTGTACAGAGAGTTGGATGTACCTCCCAACCTGCATATATGCAGTGGCAGGACAAATAAAAAATTAACAAATAAAAATACTATGATGGCATGCAAGTCACCTAATGCTATCTCTGTGCATGGTAAGTCAACAGATATCTCCTGGTTATAGTTAAACCTACTATTATGTAATGGCCTATAAATAGAGAGTTGGACCCCCAAAAATGTAGCTAACATTTTCCTTGGAATCTTTTTTCTGCCACACATACATTTCCTCCATCTATTTTAGGATATTCATATATAGCATGTTTTTAAAGCTTGCAGATTTTTAGAATCAAAAAGATGTGATTCTCATCTATTGTTACAAGGTCTTTCTGGAAAAAAACAGCCATTATCAAAATAAAGAGAATGGTGTTTGTGACATTGATGTAACCTGACAGCCAAAGAAAGGGGGCTGGAATGTGCATATATAATCAAGGACAATTTCACTGTTTGAGTCAGTGAGGGTGGTGGACACCATTGAGTGAGCATATGTACTGTGTGACTGTTGCATTCTAAATGACTCAGTGAGTAGAGCAATCAATCTGCCTCAAATTTTATGTTAAGCTAGAACATTCCACCTCAGAAACTATTCTCATAATTCAGAAGACCACAGCTATGGGCAACTGGTGATTAGCGGCTTCATCAGAACAATGTGCCTGCTCATACATCATGTCTCCTGCTGAGTTTTTTGGCAAAACAGAAAATCACCCAGATGATTCAGCCACTCTACAGCTAAGATTGGGTGCCCTGTGACTTCTGGCTTTTCCCAAAACTACAATCACCTTTGAAATGGAAGAGATTTCAGGCCATTGATGAGATTCATGAAAATATGATGGGGCAGTGGATGCTGACTGGGAGAACTGTGTGAAGTCCCAAGGTGCCTACTTGAAGGGGACTGAAGTATCACTGTCATATGTATAATGTTCCTTGTATCTTATATCTCCTTCAATAAATGTCTCTATTTTTCATATTAGGTGGCCAGATACCTTCTGGACTGACCTTGTACGTCTTTCCATATTAGCACACAAACTTTTTTTCAGTAACATGGACAATCTTGGACCCATGTCTCCAATTCCATTTTAATTTGAAAAAGTGATTAGATACAATTATTTACGGGTCCTGATAATGTTCTGCCAAGACAATTGGTGAGATTCAATTTATTGACAGCAGAAAGAGGACAATAGCTAATACTTGTGAAACATTTCCTCATTATGTCATTGTGAGTGAGATTCTGTTTGAAATAGCTCTGGCTGTGAGACAACATTTTCTAACCATTAAAAAAGGCTAGAGCAGTTTTGGAGCTAAGTTACTTGTTTTATATAATCCCTCTTCAAAAAGTTATAAATCCTTTAATTTTCTCCTTCATTAGAAATCCATCTATGGTTAATCCCAAAGATCATCTTATAAAAATTATTTCAGGAAAAGAACTTACTTGTATTTTATTTTTGACAACCATGGCTATTATTGTTTCAGTCTGCTAACCATGATTACATAGCTAAAAGTACCCATTGTATTTTAAATGTGTCTAAGCATGAAAATGACAATATGGTGTTATTATCTTAATTTTTGAAATAAATTGACAGCAAAATATGTCTTGTTAATAATAGACAATCTGTCATCATATTTTTATCAATAATGCGATTTTCACAGGTAACTTGGAACACTTATCATAAAGCTTTTTAGAATAATTGGATTCAATTAACTATGATTACAATTAGAATATTAATAATTGTTCAGTGAAAAACTGCAGTATGGGTAAAATTCTTAAGCTGTGACAAGAGATTTTTTTCTAAAAGGATGTCTCCAATAGAACATAGATCCAGACTTTAGTCTAACATAGGCTTTAAAAAGACAACTCTATTTAATAATTCTATCTTGAAATTGGGAGGAAATGATTAAATGGGTTCCTCAGGAATCATAGCAATTTTTACTTTGGTTTACAGTTTTGGGTTAACTGGTTGCAAATACATGCCACACTTATTTGCTTGCCCACCCACTGAAGTCTGACACTTCTATAATTTAGAAATTGCTTAATTATCTGTGTTGTGAAATAAATGTCTTAAGGGAGCCTATGAATCTTGGAATATCAGTGAATTAGAATATTTGCTAAATAAAACTTTGTGGTAATTAAGAGTCATAACCTACATAGAAGAGGAAAGAAAATTCTTAAAAGGATTTAAGAAGATTAAACACAGGCACAAAAATAACATGGTGTTAATCAGCATATGAAGAAAACTACAGTGAGGTGAAGTGGGGGTGGTGTGAAGGACCAATAATAAAACTATGGTAATAAAATAATAAGCAAAACTTTTGTTTTTCTTTCTTTTGATGTATCATAGAGGCTAAGAAAGCAAGGAATAGGTAATAAAAATACATAAATCGTGACCACAGTGAAGACCTCATTAACCTGTGTAAGGGGAATGATCACTAAAGAACAGTCACATAACCAAATATTCAGTGAGGTACTGAGTGTTTATACCTAACTTAAATGCTTAGCCACTGGCAATATATACAACCCCCCAAAAGTGATACTTTGTAATAAAGGGAACAAAGTCAAAAAGCATTTAATTTTTTCTCTTAATGAATTTTATTGAAAATCAACTCACAGTGACTTTAGCCGGCAAATAATATACCCTCTCATCATTATCACTTCTTGTGTTATGCCTCCTGTCCATTGAGCTCAGCACTCTCAGTGATTCCTAAGCCTCTTCTTTAGTATCACTGAGGACCATCTAAGACATAATAAAAACTGCTCTATATTGCTTAACAAACTTTTTCATGAGGGTTAGTATTATCTCCCATAAGAAAAATCATATTCTTAAAAAGTGAGTAAATGCCTTATATGCACTCAGCATTCCACAAATGCTATTGAGAGTTGTATCCTGAATAGGTGTTCTTTTAATATCTATGAATTACTTTATTAGTTTAAAAATAAAAATACCATTACCCTCTGTTAGTAATAACTTAATTGCTAAAGTATATGAACCCATATAATTACTTCACAATTTGCAAAGACCATTTTCTCTTAACACATAAAAACAATAAACAGCAGAATGTTGTAGCCCAGGGTGTCCAACCCACAGCTTGTGGGCCACTTGCATCCCTGGATGGCTGTGAACACCAGCCCAACACAAAATCATAAATTATTTAAAACATTATGAGATTTTCTTGTTTTCATTAGGGTTTGCATATTTAATGTGTGGCCTAAGACAACCCTTTTTCCAGTGTGGCCAGAGATGCCAAAAGGTTGGACACCCCTCTTAAGTCCATTTCTCCTACCTGGCCATCCTAAATACATATGAAGACCAAGTGTTGATTTCCAAATGTACAAGAAGAAATAAGTTTTAAAAATAATTTGCACATTGCTTTTATTTGTTGTAGTCTCTTGAGGAGACTACATGTTTTGTGTATATCACAAACTTATCTAATAGGCAATATATTGAACCTTTAGTTATCTAGAAAAGGGAGCAAATAACTGTTCAGTGGTATTTTATGGCTAGATTTTGAAGATTTGCAACAGATTGTTATCATTTACTCTTAGGTAATCATAGCTAAATCTAATTTTAAGATGACTGAATTTAACAGAAATGGCAACATTTATATTCCTATCTAAGAATAAAATGCATTCATTTATTTGAACAACTATACTAAATAATGATTCTGGAGTAGGAAATAATATTGACAGAATACTGCATTTTAAAAGTAAACCATTCATCTCCTATGGAAAGTCAATTTTAGAAAGGCTTCCTTTTGCTTAATCCAGAAAACCACAACAGAGTAGAAAGAATTTAGACAGAAGGAAAAGTAGAGGGAGAGAAAAAGCTAATAATAACTTTGGACTAGACTTTTTTTTAAATCTTGGAATTTGTATGACTAATTTTACATGAAAATATTGGAGGAAATATTCATTGTAAGAAATCATTATTCTTGGAAATACTGACTTATTCACTAAAATGGATAAACAGGAAGAAAATGAAGCAAATGGTGCCATGGGTATTTTCCATCAATACGTATACTGATTCTAATGATATCCCAGCCCTAACTCTTCACCTAAAATTCTTTGCAAATGATATAGCTGAAGAAAAGAAAGATATGTACACCTAGAGAATACTCTAAACAATACTGAAATGCATAAATAATTGTTCATTACTTACAAAAGTTGTGTTTTCCAATAATAATGTGGTAGCATTTGTTTCTATATTCAGTTTAATGACATGTCCATTCTCGCTTTTATACACCACATCTGTATCTGCAACAACAAAGATATTAACAATAGACAAACAGATTGACTAGCTAATAAATAGCTGTAGAGGAAAAATGTGTGTAATAAACAGACACATTAGAATGATCATTGTTAGCCTTTAATAACCTGAGCAGATTTCTAAACTTGGTCCAAATTAATGGTCTTCCATGATATGGAAGCCCGCCTAGCCTATGGTATATTGTGCAATGAAAATAAGGTTAGTGAGAGAGCCATTCAGATTCCTGGTTTAACAATAAAAATTAATTAAAATATGGGCAGTTGGCTGCCCATTCTGACATGACAAAGACAGAAGAATGAGAAGCGCCTCCAGTATCAATGTAAGCTGTTACTGATTAATGATCATGTTAAATATTCAGAAAGTGCTGCCAGTTAAGCACAAGTACACAGTTCTAAGTCAACTCACATTGAATCACCATCATGCAGGCTTTTTCAAACGTCCAGTCTTACTACTATCAATTCCGATTCAGCCTCTTTCTCCTTTGGGTTGAAATTTAGTCTCTGGTATTTTATCCGGTTTGTGTGATCACAGATAAAAAGTCCTAATGATAAGGCTCTTCTTGTGCATAACATTCTAAAATGAAGACATTTCAAGCTACACTAATTACCTCCAAATTTTTATGATGATGGGATTTTCAATAGATGTATTATATTCATGTACTATATGCTGACCAGTGATGCCTCCTTTTAAAAATCTTTTAAAAGTTTTTTATATTCATATCATTTACCAGCATATCAGTATAATGAAATGTCCCTTATTTTAAAAGCCAAATAAAGGTACAACCACTGATATACAGATGGCCGATAGACATGAAAAGATGCTTAACATCACTAATCCTCAGAGAAATGCAAATTAAAAATCACAATGAGATACCATCTCACACCTGTTAGAAAGGCTATCATCAATAAATCAACAAACAATAAGTGCTGGTGAGGATGTGGAGGAAGGGAGACCTTTTTTCACTGTTGGTGGGATTACAGCCACTGTGGAAAACAACATGGAGATACCTCAAAACATTCAAAATGGATATGCATTTTGACCTAGCAAACTCACTTTTGGAAGGAACCCAAAACACTAATTGGAAAGAACATAAGTACCCCTACGTTCATTGCAGCATTATTTACAATCACCAAGATATGGAAGTAGCCCAAGTGCCCATCAGTAGATGAGTAGATAAAACAACTATGTGACATTTACACAATAAAATACTACTGGGCAGTACAAAAGCAGAAAAGTTTAACCTTTGCAACAATGTGGATGGACCTGGAGAACATTATGGTAAGTGAAATAAGCCAGTCGTAGAAAAACAAACACCATATGATTTCACTCATATGTGGAATTGAATGAACAAACTAAACTAACAAGGAAAATGTGGACAGACTCATAGATGGAGAGCAGGATGACAGCCAATGGTAAGGAGCGGTGAGGAGATGGAGGGACTGAGCAAAAAGAACAAAGGGCTCATGGGTGTGGACAACAGTGTGGTGATTGCTTGTGGCCAACCCTGTCCTGCAGAGTCTGCCTGTTGTGGCTTATGATGTTTTCCATACAGAGCTGAGTCACATTTGCCAGGCCAAGACAAACCGGTCCCCTACAATTGCTGGTGGGGGTGGGGTGGATATAAAGGGACTAAATGGTAATAGAAAAATTATAATGAAGATCAAATAAAAAAATACTCATAAAATTCGATAAATATCAGGATTATAAAAACAAACAAAATTTCTGAAACAGCATACCATTGTATCTACTTTGTCAACTTTAGAAGAATAATATTTTCATTTAAAATAATTAAATTGTTTCTGGACAGCTGCCGATTTTATATATATTTTGAGTTACATTCAATCACATTCATCAGCGAATTAAATATTAGGAATACCTCAATCTAAAAATATCAAACTGAGGGAAAACTGCCAGAAAGCAATCTTGAGTTGTTTTCTTTCTAATAATTATAATATCTTTCCAGGCTTACCTACTAACCTTCTCTATGGTATTAAACATCTCAATGCCCCTGTGCTTCTTGGAAGAAAGGCAGTACTCAGGTTTAGTCCACTACTGGTAATGAATTGGGTTACATGAATTATAACCACTCAGATCCTGAATGTCTTCATCTGTGTAATGATACAAGTACACTGCAATGGAGGGTTATAAACATTATATAGAAATACCTGACACTCTGGAAAAGCAAGATTTTCTGACCTGTTTTTCAGTTATTATTATAAATAGTAACACCTACAAATTATATGGTGAGAAGCAATCAGTACTAAAAAAATGAAGCTTGTTTTCTTTTTTCTTTCTGCTTCATTCAGAAGACTGAGAGTCCAATATGACTCTTCTATTATTAGAGTCAAGGATGGCAGAGAAAGCCAATAGTTCTTGACCTTAATCACATAGGGACAGTGACATGTTAGACCCAGGGCCCGGAGTATACAGAAAAACAAATGGTGTTTCAAGAAAAGAGTAAAAGAAGCAATGTTCCCAAGTTACTCTCAGAGACAGCCTGTATAGACTGCAAGATAGTCCCATGTGATCTTTAAAATAAGGTCTTGGCACAGAGATGAGGACTGGGGGGGGGGGAAATGGGAGGGAGGGGGGAGACCGGGCGGGGGGGTGGGGGGGATGGGAGAAATAGATACAAAAAAAATGTACTTGAAAAGTAACTAAATAAAATTTAATATTAAAAAAAATAAAAATAAAATAAGGTCTTGGCCCTGGTTGGTGGTGTAGCTCAGTGGACTGAGCGCGGGCCTGCGAACCAGACAATCGCGGTTCGATTCCCAGTCAGGGCACATGCCAGGGTTGCAGGCCGGTTCCCTGCAGGCCAGTTCCCAGCAGAGGACGCACGAAAGGCAACCATACATTGATGTTTCTCTCCCTCTCTCCTTCCCTTCCTTCTAAAGATAAATAAATAAAATCTTTAAAAAAATAATTAATAAATAAAATAAGGTCTTGTAAATTTTTTAAATTTATTTTTTATTGATTATGCCATTACAGTTGTTCTATTTCCCCCTTCATTCCCCTCCACCCTACCCCCCATCCCCACCATTACCCCCCTTTAATTTATGACCATGTGTCTCAAGTTCTTTAGATTCTATATTTCCCATACTATTCTTGCCCCCCATCTATTTTCTATCTACTGTCTATGCTACTTATTTTCTGTACCTTCTCCCCCCCTTCCCCTCCTCCCACTCCCCTGTTGCTAACCCTCCTTGAGATCTTCATTTCTATGTTTCCACTCCTGATCTAGCTGTCCTTTTAGTTTGCTTTTGTTTTAGGTGTGGTTGGTAATAATTGTGAGTTTGCTGTCCTTTCACTGTTCATGTTTTTTTAACTTATTTTTCTTAGATAAGTCCCCTTAACATTTCATATAATAAGGGCTTGGTGATGATGAACTCCTTGAATTTGATCTTATCTGAGAAGCACTACTGATTGATTGATTGATTGATAATTTTTGGAGGAATGGGAAAGGAGAGAAAAAGATAGAGAGAAAAACACCAATGTGTGGTTGCACCTCACACAGCCCCACCTGGGGCACCTGTCCCGTAACCCAGCCTTGTGCCCTGACTGGGAATTGAATCAGGGACCTTTTGGTTCACAGGCTGGCACTCAATCCATTGAGCCATACCAGCCAGGGCAAAAATTTTTTTAAGTAGGAAAAATTCCCTGGCTTATGTGGCTCAGTGGATTGAGTGCCAACCTGTGAACTAAAGGGTCACTGGTTCAATTCCCAATCAAGGCACATGCCTAGGTTGTGGGCCAGGTCCCCAGTGGGAGGTATGTGAGAGGCAAACACACATTTCTCTCCCTCTCTTTTTCTTGCCCTTCCCCTCTCTAAAAATAAATACATAAACTATAAAAAACAGGAAAATAAAATAGAGAGGAAGCTTTTCAGAAAGTGTTGTTCAAGTACAGTTGTACTCTCCATTTTCCTGCCACCACTTTCCCCTGCACCACCCACCCCCACCCTCAATTCTTCCCCACTTTGGCTTTGTCCTTGTGCGCTTTATACATGTCCCTGGTTGACCCTTTCCCTTCTTTGTACAACCTTTGGAATGTCTGTTGTCAGCTATAAATACATTTGATTACTTTTATTATTAATTTTACCTGTTGTCCTTTAGTGATGTTGAAGAAATAACAGGTTTATGCACATCATAAAAAATGTTGATTCTTATTTCTTTTCTATCTTCACTTTATTTTCTATCTCAAATATATTATCACAGCCTAACAGCAATACCAGTCATCAGAGCTACTTGATCTAGTCAGCTGATTCTGGTCTCTTGCCTTCTTGATCTCATTAATGCTTGCTTGAATCAATAGTGCACCCAAACTAATCCTGTCTGTTATTTTTCTTAATATTCTCAATTCTTTTTTTTTAATTTTATTTATTTATCTTTAGAGGGGTAAGGGAAGGAGAGAGGGAGAGAAATATCAATGTATGGTTGCCTCTCATGTGTCCCCTGCCAGGAACTGGCCTGCAACCCAGGCATGTGCCCTGACTGGGAATCAAACCACAATCTCTTGGTTCGCAGGCCCACGTGCAATCCACTGAGTTACACCAGCCAGGGCAATATTCTCAATTCTGTATCATTTCTTGGTGTTCATGAACATTACTATCATAGATTAGCAAGAAGAGACAAATAGTATGCCTTAACAAATCATCATTATAATAGTTTTACAAGAAATTACGAGAAAAAGGCTTTCCCTTCTTCTACTGCACAATGGAGATGAATATAGCAAAAAATCACTAAATGAGTGTCGCACACACACACACACACAGGAGAGAAGTACACTGAAGAATCTTAAATGGGGCTGAAGTCTGTGGACTTGTTAGAGAACGATTTAGTGTGAAGGGCGGTTTCCCTACAATGGAAGAGACAGAGTAACATGTGGCCCCATTGTCTCTCTTAGCAAGAGAGAACTTTAGGCAGCTAGGAGGTGGTACAAGAGGCAGAATAAGGAAAATTCGCTTACATTTTTCTTAGAACCAAAA